CCAGTCACTGAACTTCTGGAAAATAACTCTGAGCTGATTAAAATTTTGGTGAAAGTTGCCAGAACAAGTCATGTGACCGATAAAATTGACGCTGAACAACTTTCAACTGTAATCTTTGACAAGATAGTTGAGTTCAAAAATAAGTTAACAATTGCTTTCAAGGAAGCTGGGAAAAAATGGCGGGATGTGATGGACCAGATTTGGACTTTTGGACCCAAGCACTGTGGTCCAAATATCCTTTTAAACACGATACCAGATTATAAACGACCATCAATTTGGGAATGTATCAATACTTCTAAGGATAAAACATCATCTTCTTTAAATGATTATGATAACAGTGTTATGAGTGGATTTCAGTTAGCGACTTTAGCAGGTCCAATGTGTGAGGAACCAATGATGGGGGTGTGCTTTGCTTTGGAAGAATGGAAAATCAAATACTCAAAGTCAGAACAAAAAGGAAATGAAATTGCACCAGATAGTGACTCTGGAGGGCAGCATTCATCTTGTACTGAAGAAAACGGTACACAATCCAGGACAAGAATGAACATTGAAGGAACTGATCGATGGGGACCATTCTCAGGACAGCTCATTTCCACTGTCAAAGAGTCTTGTAGAGTTGCATTTCAAGCCAAGCCACAGAGGTTAAAAGCAGCTATGTACAAGTGTGATATACAGACTACTGCAGATGTACTGGGTAAGTTGACCTTCTATGTAAAAGTCATTTACACTTCACTAAATGTGTATATTTTGTAAATCGAGAATTTATAAATGTCACTAGCCAGTTACTACCACTATTGTGTAGTTAAATCTTTTTCTAATTGGAGAAAGTGAGCTAGATTACCAATCAGTAGTTCTTACCCTGAAAGTAAAAAATAGAATCACCCATCAGGTGCATGGCAACCCATCAGGTGCATGGCAACCCATCAGGTGCATGGCAACCCATCAGGTGCATGGCAACCCATCAGGTGCATGGCAACCCATCAGGTGCATGGCAACCCATCAGGTGCATGGCAACCCATCAGGTGCATGGCAACCCATCAGGTGCATGGCAACCCATCAGGTGCATGGCAACCCATCAGGTGCATGGCAACCCATCAGGTGCATGGCAACCCATCAGGTGCATGGCAACCCAGTGACTCGTGGAAGATTCAGTTAATTGGTTCCTCATTTTGTCTGCTAGAGATATCAGCAGAATTCTTTAGAAGTCTTTATTTGCTCCCATTTTATTAGTGTACCACTAGTTCCAGCTGAGTTGGTTCAATAACACAGTCAATGACAAAGTTTTGGTTATTTCAAGGTTCTTTTGGCAGTGATTGTTAGCACTTCTCTTGTTGTGAAATGGATTGGAAGAAAGATAACATTGTCATTCTCATAATGCTAAGCATCAGAGAAAATATTCATCTCCTGAATTATCCCTTTATAGGAAGCGATATATTTTGATGGATTCTGACACTGACAGCTTTCATTTTACTGGATACCATCATTGTATCCAAGGTAGATCAGCAAGTATTAACTAGTATTAACTAAAGAGACTTTGTGTGGTACATGTACATCATCATGCCTTATGAACCATTGCTGTTGGCATGGTGCTCTCTGTGTGATCTCTCTCTCTCTGTTGAATGTTAATATGACTGGTGTTGTGAAACACTGTCACTATACACTGTATATAACCAGGTTAGAGTTAAGGCTGTGGTTAGTGTCATTCTTATTTTTACCGATTGATTCTGTTGTGTTTATCAACAATGGGTCTCAGTTTTTACAGCAATCGTTATCCTGTTGCAATAAGAAATCCATGTTGTACATTCTCTGCATGGGTTTGTCCCAATATGCTTTATATATGGGTCATACTCTGTGTAGTCTGGTGTTGGCTAGTGACATTATAGACTAGAAAGACTGCTAGTCTACTTGTTTATAAGAGCCCCAGAACGCCTCCCCAGGCACCTGTACTTTCCTCTCCGGAAGCTACTCTATGTCAGCGCAGAAAAATGAAGTGGAACTTGTTATTCTAGAGGTGCCATACACCTGGTGGGTGATTCCATTATTCCCTTCCAGGGATAGGCTTCATTGGGGATAGAATCCACTCTAGTTCAGGAAGATATCCAACTGTGCAATAGTTTAAGTAATTTGCAGTGACTAATAATCAAGTACATGCCTTGATTACAAACTGTCGATGGCTAGCTCAACAGCCAATAAAAACTTACTCCCATCAACAAAAATCTGATCGATGCAGCACCACCCATGTGGATACAGTGAATTTTATGAATGCATGAATGTTTTTATATGAAGTATTTATAAATGTTTTATAAAATCAAATGACTGTTGAAAATCATTTGATCAATCACAACTGATGCATGGTGGTTAATTATCTATTTAAGGAAACCTGCTAAGGCTCACATAGCCAATAAATAAAGTATAGTCTTTGGATTTGAATGAACCATGAGAGTCTTTCAGAGTAAATGTTTTAATTTCTATTATCATAAATTACACTGTTTATAATTGTATAGTAGCATCACATAGCTGCATGTTTGCTTTCCTAAATTATAGTGTGTTTATATGTTCAAAATGTCATACTTCAATCATTCAGTATACAGTTAGTTTATATGCACTTGTAACATAGCACATACTGTACTGTTGATTTTATAAAATTCATTATTTAACCACTGTATCACCAAAGCTGTTTATAACAGACAATAAATGCTTGAAACAAGCTCACTTAAAAGTGATTGGTTGCATTATTAGGTCGCATGTATGCAGTACTCGGTAAACGTAATGGCCGAGTGTTTGAGGAGGAAATGAAAGAAGGGTCAACAGAGTTTATGGTTCGTGCATTGTTACCAGTAGCGGAAAGTTTTGGATTTGCTGAAGAGATTAGAAAAAGGACAAGTGGTCAAGCTAGTCCCCAGCTGTTTTTTAGTCATTGGGAGGTAAGGCTCAATATTACATCAGAATTCAGCCAAGTTTTTGTGTACGAATCATTCACAAAAGTTTCATCACCAGAAATGAGTGGACAAGATGGCCGACTTCCGCCCTATCCAGTGTTTCCCAGTCAAATAAACATCACACAGAATGTGCCATAGAGAATGCATTGCATAAACATATATTAAAACAAAATTTAATTTTGAGTTTTTATTTTTCATTTTTTAACTTTTGTGTATTTCGTAATAGACAGATGACGTTCCAATCTTTCGAAATGTTATAGATGTTTCCATTAAAACGGAGGTATGTATGGGGGTCTAAAAACTAACTCTGCGACGCGATTGTGCGACTCGCCGAATGTCGATTATTGCACTATGTGACAGGATCGCAGAGTGCGAAGAACACGATTCCCATTGGTTGGTAGGTCGATCGATGTAAGGGTACACAGCATGCCTTATAGAAATGTTATTTCGCCGACTGCTCACGAACTACGGCAAACAAGTATTTACCGACGACATGCCGCACGATTCGGTAATCAGCAAGTATTTAACATTGATTTATTAACATATAAAACATCCCCCGGAGGTGATGAAAGGGGTTACAAAACACATGCACGTTGGTGTTGGCTGCCTTATTACGGTGTAACATAAGGGAGCTGGTAACATTAACGTCATCTTGAAGGCTTCGTCCGCAACTATGCTCATTAGCATAGGCGGCAGCTTTAAAACGAGTAGAGCGCGAAGTACTTTCACGCGATGTTACGTACGACGAGCAACAGATTTTCCTCGTCCCTCAATGGTCTCGCGTATCGGTGTCGTCATCGGTTAAGTAGTTGAAACTCTTTCGGGTTGATGCGAATATTTCAGCCTAATCGTTCCCTTTGAACCACTCGCGATGTTGGTCATTATATGACCTAGACGTGCTTGCAATCTGTTGCGATTCCGATGAAAAATTCTTGAAAAATAAATATAAATTGTGTAAATGAGGGGTGAACGCGAGAGTCCCGTAATTTTTCATCGGAATCACAACAGGCTGTAGGCAAGTCTAAATTAGTAAATATGACCCTGAGTCGCAGATTTTTCTTTGCCTAGTCTTGTCATTGGCGTCTTTGCTTGCTTTCTTTTCATTGTCATTGCGTTAGTAAGATGGTGTTATTAAAATAGAATATAGAAAATAAAACGATTTCTCAAACGAAGTCTTGACTGATAATAATGCTGACAATGGACGTTAGATTCATATGCATTGTTTGCGACAGGAAGCTTGTCACCCGTTCTATCAGAATCGTCAACAACAGAGTATTACCGGTAGTATACATATACATGTTATACACATTATGCAAATATTAACGAAACGGTAGTAGTGTTAGCGTTTGAGCACTGGTCTTTCCGAAATTTTGAAAAGCTGGGATGATGAATCAAGGTACATGCACCAAGCAACCGTTTTATTAATTATTGAAAAATCAAGAAGAAAAAAAAAGAAAATTTCCCTTCCCGCTACATTAAGATCAATATGGACCACCGAAATTTGGCGTTCATTTAAAAAAATAAACCCTAATTTTCAGTAATACTGACTTCGAAAACTATGATACAAAAATAATTACATTCATACCACAAACCAACGCCGTTTTTGTTTACTTTTCACAACTGTTACAAAGTATTTCATTTCTGGTGGTTAAATACCAGCTAATCCATCGTAAACCACAAGTTTGGAGTCCGTTTATGATCTAAACAAAGGCAGACGATTGCAAACAACTGCTGTCATGGCAAAACGTTGCACATCGTGAATACTTTTTTGACTCCCGTGTGCGAAGCACAAAAAGGAGTCTTTGCAGTTACCCTGTATGTACCGTATGTATGTATGTATGTATGTATGTCACTTTTTTTGTTCCACCGTTATCTCAAGAACCACTAATCAAATTTTGGTAAAACTTGGTACATAGATGCTCTGGGATAATGCGCAGAGTTGATTAGGTTTTGGTAAAAATCTATGAATATTAATTACCTAATTTGAATGATAATTAACTGATTTCAAGCTGTTCCATGACTGTTCCACTGATTTTTGAAGAACCACTCATTGGATTTCAATGAAACTTGGCACATGGATGCTCTGAACTAATGCGCAGATGTGATTAGTTTTTGGGTAAAAATCTGTTAATATTATTAATTATCTAATTTACATAATGATAAATCAATTTTCTGCTTTTCCACTGATATCTCAAGTACTAATCATCACATTTCAATGAAACTTGATACTTATTATTACCTAATTTGCATAATTAATTAATTTTCAGCTTTTGATATTTCGAGTAGTAATGATCTCGTTTCAATGAAACTTAGTACATAGTTACTTGAGGACTGTGCAGACCCTGATTAGTTT